TCCACGTGTCCTCCTTGCCTCCATATGTCCTCCCTGCCTCTACCTATCCTCCCTCAAAGGTTGGGTGGGACGGGATACCCAGTGGGAAAAGGCTCTCCCCGAGCAAGGGCAAGCGTTGGGAGACTTGCAGCTGGTGAGCCCCCTCCCTGTCCCCCTCCATTCTGTGTTATAGATGTCAGCTGGGCGCGGAGGGGGCACTTGCTTCTGCCCCCAGGCTGGAGGAGGAAGAGCTGCCACTGTGGAGGGGGCACTGGACATGCCTGAGGCACCGTCCTGCCCGGACAGTGAGACCCCTGCCCCAGACTGCAGGCTGGGGGCCCTGTACTGGGCCTGTGTGCGCAACGACTCTGCCCAGCTTCAAGCTGTGCTGGAGGACGGGGTCTCCCCTGAGGAGGCCACCCAGGTGGACGGCAATGGGAGGGTGAGCTACCAGGTGCTTCCCAGGGCAGCTCTGGGTCCGGCCACCCCACACTCATCCTGAGAGTGCCCGGGGCCTCAGGAAGGAGGGAGCGGGTCTTCACGGGGCAGGGATGCCTCTGGGACAGTGTGGGTTTAGCGGCACAGGGAACCGGGGGAGCTCCTGGAGGAAAGCTCGGGGCTGAGCGGCCCCTCCCCCAGACAGGCCTCATGGTCGCATGCTACCTCGGCTTCGGGAGCATCGTGGCCCTACTCAGCCGCTGTCCGTTCCTGGATGTGAACCAACAGGACAAAGAAAGCGACACAGCCCTCATGCTGGCTGCCCAAGCAGGGGGGAGGCTGCTGACCCACCCTCTGCCGGTCCCGGTCTCCAGACCCGGCCACCGCTCCACACTCTGCATGACGTTCTCCCACACCACACTGCAGCGTTGGATGGAGGGTGGGTTTGGGGCTTCACCACCCCTTTCCTGGGATCCCAGATCTGCCTTCGGTGCTCTGCAGGCCACGTGCCTCTGTGAGTCTCCGGCTCAACTGCTACTCGGGCCTGGACTTGGAGCGCCGAGACCAGCGGGGCGGACAGCGCTGATGAAGGCCGCAGCCCGGGGCCGCTCTGAATGCGTGGCGGCCCTCCTCATGGCAGGTGCATAGGCCTGCACGGACCAGGATGCACGGCTTCCAGTCCCTCCCCAGTCACCCCAACAGACACCCCAACAGACACCGAGTCAGCTGTCATAGTTGCAGAGAGGAGAGAGGTGGAGACGGAGGATCAATCTAGGCTGGCTTCCTGGATGAGGGGAGGGGGGTTGGGCTTCTCACAATCTAAGTCCTGCTATAGATAACTCTGTTTACATTGTTAATGGAAGTCCCAGAAAAGAAAACGAGAGGATACGTTAGACCAGTGGGCGGCAAACTGCGGCTCGGCAAACTGCAGCTCGGGAGCCACATGCGGCTCTTTGGGCCCTTGAGTGTGGCTCTTCCACAAAATACCGATGTCTGCACAGCATGTGGCTCGCGAGCCACAGTTTGCCGACCACTGCCAACTGGAGAACTGAAATACAAGAGGCTGGTGGTACCTGGAGGCAGACCCTCGCCTCCTCATCCTGGCTCTGCCACTAGCTGTGTGGCTTCCCTCTCGGGGCCTCATCCTTCCCCGGGGTGATTTCCAGCTCTGCCCAGCTAGGGTTCTAGGACCACAGTGACGGTACAGAGACGTGTGGCTGCGTGGAGTTCTGGAGGGAAGCCCACACTGTTTGTGGAGCCGTAGGCTCTCATTATTCCCTCAGGGGAGCTGTCCTCTGCTAGTAACTCCGGGGGACCCCAGCCTGTAGCTTTTCCCTTCCCCATCCCTCAGATTGGGTTTGGGGTGTGAAGGGAGGGAGTTCTGCACCCCCACCTTTGACTCAGAGTATTTGCTACTCCCCCCAGGATTAAAGGGGTTTGGTGATGAAAAGAAGGACCAGCAGGACCCCCCCACCCCCAATCTGCACCCCGCCCCCTGGTCAGGCCCTTGGTTCAGGAGTCCCTATTCTGTTCTGGGTTTGGAGACCCCAGCATGTCTCTCTGAAGTCTTTCCCCTTCCCTGTACATCAGTTTCCTTCACCATCTCAAACAGAGGTTGGGCTCGGGAACTGGTCCTGTCTCTGGGCTGTAGCCACTCCCAGATTCCGGCGTAACAAGATGAGTGGGCCTCTGGTTTTGAATTTAACCCAAATCAGTCAGTCCTGCTGCTAAAGCATTTGCCTCCTGCGAATCACCCATCCCCATCCCAGCCGCATCGCCCGTGCCCGCTCCCAGGTGCTGACCTGACAGCAGTGGATCCTGTTTGGGGCAAGACGGCCCTGGAGTGGGCGGTGCTGACCGACAGCTTCCACACCATGCGAAGGATCCGGCAGCTGCGGCGGCGGCCCCAGGCGGAGCAGCTTGGTCAGCACTACCAACCGGAGTGGCCAGCCCTGCCCGGGCTCGTGGCCCAGGCCCAGGCTCAGGTTGCCCCCTCTCTGCTGGAGAGATTACAGGCCACCTTGAACCTCCCCTTTGCCCAGTCTCCTCAGGAGGGGGGTGTCCTGGACCACCTTGTGACCATCACGACCAGCCTAGCCAGTCCCTTCCTCACCACTGCCTGCCACACTCTGTGCCCTGACCACCCACCTGCACTTGGGACCCGAAGCAAGTCTGTGCCAGAGCTGCTAGGCACTGCTCCCCCCACCCCCAGCCCCCCAGCCTCCACAGGTGGTCCCTGGCCCCCGGGGCCTCGTCCCTCACCAAAGCCCTCAAGTTGTGCTGAGCATATCCCCCCCCCCCCCCCCCAGCCTCCCAGCTTCCACAGGTGGTCCCTGGCCCCCAGGGTCTCGTACCCTCACCAGAGCCCTCAAGCTGTGCTGAGCATGTGCCCTCAGTGGCTACAGCCCAGGGACAGTGCCAGCCCCAAGCCCGCAGTCCCCCAGATCCTCCTCTCCAAGGCACCCTCATCTCCCAGCCGGCATGAGCCAGAGCCCAGGCCTGCAGGGCATCGCAGGCTGACCCCTCCTGTCTGGCGATACCAGGAGCTCCGGATGCAGAGGAGGAGTCAGGAGAAGGAGGCTGGGTGTGCACAGGGTCAGGGGAAGATGGGCTAGGCCGGACTGGGAGCAGGCAATCAGCTCCCTCCCACAGGCGCCCTGCCCTGTGGAGCCCCTCCTGCCTGTCATCTGATGCACGAGGTCATCCATACAACACTGTTTGCAGCGTAAGAGTGGAAACAGCCTATGTGTCTACAGGGGACTGGCTAAATGATCTGGGTGTCATTACTGTACACCCATGTGATAAAACAGGAGCAAGGCAGCTCTTTATGCTCTGATAGGAAACTATCTTCCAGAGGTTTGAGTGAAAAATAGCCAAGGGGTAGGACAGTGCGTATGGCATGCTACTGTTTGTCAACTTTGCACAGAGCTAAACTTGACTAGTACAAATACAAAGTGAGAACCAAGACTTATTTAACTAGTTGATAAGTGAACCAGCAGGATGGATCAAAGGAAGAAATGAAAACCATTATTGACAGTCAGTGGAAAAAAAGAATGCTGGAATAAGATGGCAAAGTTGATACAAAAGGTTAATTCCCACCTTGCAATAAAGTCATAACTGGGTTTTTCATCACCTGAGGATATTTTTCCCCAATGTATCAACTTTGCCATCTTATTCCAGCATTCTTTTTTCCCACTGACTGTCAATAATGGTTTTCATTTCTTCCTTTGATCCATCCTGCTGGTTCACTCATTAACTAGGTACATAAATCTTGGTTCTCACTTTATGTTTTTAGGAAGGGAGGGAGAAGGGAGAGAGGGAGAAAAAGAGAAACATTGTTGTGAGAGACACATCGTTTGGTTGCCTCCCACACAAACCCTGACCAGGGTACATGCAGACCAGGTACATGCCCTTGACCCGGAATCGAACCCGAGACCCTTCGGTGCATGAGCCAACGCTCTAATCAGAGAAACACCAGCCAGGGCTGAATTTGTGTGGGGGGGAAGGGTTTGATTTTTTTTTGTTGGTGTTGTTTGTTTGTTTTTTGTTAATCTTTGCCCCAGAATATTTTTCCATTGATTTTTAGGGAGAGTGGAAGAAAGAGGGAAAGACAGAGAGAAACATCGATGTGAGAGAAACACATCAATTGGTTGCCTCCTGCATAGGCCTTGACCAGGGTCTGAGCTGGGGAGGAGCCTGCAACCAAGGTACATCCCTTGCTGGAATCGAACCCAGAACCCTTTGGTCCACAGGCCAACACTCTAATCACTGAGCCAAGCTGGCTAGGGCTCTTAACATATTTGTTGCACAAATATATTTGCTTGTATATTTGTAACAATAAAAGCAACCAATATAAGGTGCTTACTGTGTACATTAAACACTCCCAATAATCCTTTGAGGAGTTTATCTTGGAGGACACGGAGTACAGAGCTGGTAAGGAACTGCCAAGGGTCATCCAGGTAGAGATCAGGGTGAGAGCCAGTTAGGAGGCGGTCTCCTAACACCAACCCCAGCAGTCTCACTGGAACCTCCCTGGAAAGAACCATGGGATTTTCTTGGGAAAAAGATGAACAGCTGACCAGGGAAGGGAGACTTTTCATTGACTATCTTTTTTAACCTTTTGACTCTTAAAAAAAAAAAAAAAACCACTTCATTTTTTTACTAGTAGAACACTTTTAATTTATAGAAATGTTGTGAAGAGAGTTCCCATATACCCTACACCCAGTTTCCTCTATTATTAGCATGAGTGCAGTACATTTGTTACAATTTGAGCCAATATTAATACATTATGATTAATAAAATCCATACAGTATTTATATGTCCTTAGTTTTCACTTCGTGTCCTTTTTCCGTCCAGAATTGCATCCAGGACGCCACTGTACATTTAGTTGCCATGTCTCCGTAGATTCCTGGAGACGTGAGCGTTTCCCAGGCTTTCCTGGTTCCTGGTGACCTTGATGCTGGTCAGGTATTTTGTAGAGTGACCCTCAACTGGGGTTTGTGTGATGTTTTCCTCATGATTAGACTGGGGTTATGGATTTTGGGGAGAAAGATAGCAAAGGTGATGGGCCATTCTCATCACATCATATCAAGGGTGCGTACTATGAACATGACTTACCACGGTGGAGTTGACCTTGACCTCGTGGCTGAGGTAGTGTTTGTCATGTTTCTCCACAGTAAAGCCACTCTTCTTCCCTGCTTGCTTTCTCTTTTAAAAACATTTCTATTGTTGACACTATTGCAGATGCCCCCCAACTCCCCTCCCCCGTGCCCACTCCACTCGGCCCTTTCCGCCCTCCCTTGGCCCGCACCGCACTATTGTCTGTGTCCCTGGGCCGTGCATATCTGTTCCTTAGCTAATCCCTTCCCTTGCTTTTATCCAGTCCCCCCACCCTCCCCTCTAACATTCATCAGTCTGTTCCATGTATCCACGCCTCTGGTTCTATTTTGCTCATCAGCTTATTTTGTTCATTAGATTCCGCATATTAGTGAGATCATATGGTATCTGTCTTTCTCTGACTGGCTTATTTCGCTTAGCATAATAATCTCCAGGTCCATCCATGCTGTCGCAAAGGGTAAGAGTTCCTTCTTTTTTAAAAAATATATTTTTATTGATTTCAGAGAGGAAGGAAGATGGAGAGAGAGATAGAAATATCAATGATGAGAGACAATCATTGATTGGTTGCCTCCTGCACGCCGCACACTGGGGACCAAGCCCACCACCCGGCCATGTGCCCTGACTGGGAATCAACCACTGAGCCATGCCGGCCAGGCAAGAGTTCCTTCTTTTTTACAACCATGTATTCTATTGTGTAAATGTACCACAGTTTTTTTTATCCACTTATCTACTGATGGGCACTGGGGCTGTTTCCAGATCTTGGCTACTATAAATGGTGCTGCTATGGACATAGGGGTGCATATATTCTTTCTGATTGGAGGAAATTCCATACTGTTTTCCACAGTGGTTGTATCTGTCTGTATCCCTCCCAAAAGTGTAGTAAGGCTCCTTTTTCTCCACGTCCTTGCCAGCACTTGTTTGTTGATTTATTGATAGTAGCCCTTCTGACAGGTGTGAGGTGATACCTCACTGTAGTTTTGCATTTCTTTGATGATTAGTGACCTTGAGCATTTTTTCTTATGTCTATTGGCCATCTGTGTATCTTCTTTGGAAAAGTGCCTATTCAGATCCTTTGCCCATTTTTTAATTGAATTGTTTGTCTTCCTGGTGTTGAGTTGTATAAGTTCTTTATATATTTTGGAAATTAACCCCTTATCAGGGGAATCCTCGGTGAGTATGTTCTCCCATAGGGCAGGTTCCCTTTCTGTGTTGCTGATGGTTTCATTTGCTGTGCAGAAGCTTTTTAGTTTGATGTCGTCTCATTGCTTATTTTTTTTCTGTTTCCCTTGCCCTCAGAGACACATTGGCAAAAATATTGCTCCATGAGGTGTCTGATATTTTACTACCTATGTTTTCCTCTAGAATTTTTATGGTTTTGAGACATACATTTAAGTCTGTTATCCATTTTGAGTTTATTCTTGTGGAGGGTGTGAGTTGGTGGTCTAGTTGCATGTTTCTGCATGCACCTGTCCAGTTTCCCACGCCGTTTAGTGAAGAGATATTCTTCCCTGCTCTCTATACTGTGCTCTTCGGAAGGAAGTCACTGTATGAAGCCCACACTTATGGAGTGGGGAGTTATGCTCCATCTTCCTGGTGGTGGGCTATCTGCATAAATTATGGATTTATTTGGAATTCTTCTGCACAAAATGTTTTGACTTTTTAATCCTGTGTTACCAAAATTTGAAAAATTAAAAAATAAATCTGCTCTTTGACTTGGAGAACACACACACACACACACACACACACACACACACACTGGGGTGAAAATGATACTGTGTGGTTTCTCTCCAGAGGGTTCTGAACACAGCCATGGGGGACTGGAATGGGTTCAAGGTTAACTTTGCCATTTCCCACCTGTGTGATCCCTAAGAAGGCACGTACATTTCTCTTGACCGCTCCTTTGTTAAATGGGTGGAAACAGGGCTATTGAAACAATCCCTTAGATAATATGGGAAAACAGGCTCTGTAACATGTAAAGTGCGACCAGGAGTTGAGGTGTTATGGAAGGGCCCGGGGTACTGGGTTTGATTGAGTTGCTTCCAGGGTGGAGCTAGAGTTCTTCCGTCCCACCCACTGCTGCCAGGGAGCCAGCGCCGGCATAGGCATGGCAGACAGGGAAAGAAACTCCGCCTACAGGCTTGGACAGCTTGGTGGTTACACACTTCTGTCTAGATCAGCAGTTCTCCACCTGCGGGGCGCGACCCCTTTGGGGGCATGA